TATAGGAGCACATCATCAGCTGTATGAGCGTCTCCAGCATCTCGAGGCGTAATTGGAGGCAGTAAATGTGCCTTCCAAAAGCCTCTTTAGATAGACGTAGTGCTCAGATTTGTCCAGCTTGTACGTACCCACTTGCACACTTGTGATCGCGTTGGGGGCATCAATTTGAACGCAACATCGCGGGCAGAATAGTCGCACTCCATCTTGACCACAGGTACTTTAAACGAGCTAGACTAGGAGTAGCACACAACGCTTCTAGCCGTTCTCGCTCTTTTCGCCAACTGATAGAGTAGCTTTCGCTAGCATCGTGTATACCAAAAAAGGTAACAATCTCGAGCTTTGTCGCGTTGGTGTAGCATGTACGGGAATTCTTTGGAGTCTTGCGGCCGCTGCCATTAACGCGAGGACGGCCCGGTAACGGTGCTCGCATGCGTGGCTGTCGTTGCTGCGCTGCTGTTGCTGCGATTTTGCTATTGATAATTTTGAACTGTCGGTAAGCACATACGGAATACGGCTATTTATTCCGGGAATAGACTTGCACAAGCTGATACCTATCGGTGACCAGCCATGGGCCATGGCTGTATGAGTACGCTGGTAGATATCGCTCGAGTAGACGTGTGAGTCGACGTTTGGTGTAGATAGGGATGCGCGGGATGCTTCAAAAACAGACAAACGAAGCAAACATGACCTAAATTTCCTCAGGTAGCGATGAGCCCAAGGTATTCGAATTTGTACCGCCTTGTCTTTTTGCAGATGGCAACGATTCAACACGTTCTTAATCTATTTACACCCTTAGGAAGGCGATGTATGCAGTGTGGTGTGCAGCGATGTCCCAGAAGAGGCTGTAGCGAGCGCGCAGTACGCTCCATCAGCGGCACGTAGTAAATTCAACTCTTCAGTAGGGAATCGGATACCTTCAAAATCTGATATCACTTCTCCACGAGATCAACTTATTCAAAATCTATTTTGTTTGATTCGCTATTCCGGCAAAGTTATTCCGCTTCTTATTCTCAATTGCCCGTAATTTACATGAGAGTAGATGTTCTACCGGATGCGACGTCCTGAAAATTCTGATTCTTGAGTTGGCGATTCTTCGTGAAGGCATACAGTCTTATTTATGTCACTCAGAGGCTGAGAATATACGTGAATTCTCAGGGTAGTAGTACCGGACAGAATAGCAGGAACAGACGACGATTTGCAGCTATTGGAAGCCGAAGTCACAAATGCGCGCTTAAATACAATCTCTGCGAACGCTCGGTCGTCTTATCTCAGTTCAACGGCTCGCGTTTTACAATGGATGCTAAAGAACAAAAGAGATTTCGTACTCGACGGCTTTGCGAACATCATTACATTAAATGCAAGCGGTGAAGCGACTAAGGACTCAATTAAGCAGGCTTTGTCGTCAGCTCCGGATAACCCGCCATTAATTTTTCTTGCATCACGGCTCGTGACTTAATGACTTGGGTAGTCTCGCTGAAGAAACCCAATGGAGCGTACCACAGTTTTTCTACCTACGCTGGTCATTGCTCGGCTTTTTACAATCTGTTTCAAGACATAATTGGGTAATGCCAACGTGAGATGAGCTGCCACTTCAAAGGTTTACAACATAACGTGCCTGTAGCGATTAGCCAGGGTCTTGGTCAAATCAAAGTCGGCAAAGATTCAATGGCGCTTGGTCTGTATAAAAAACTTGCTTTCACAATGCTGCAAAGCCCATCGCGAGACATGGTATTTGCCAGGATGTTTATGATTTGTCGTAGAACCTGATGTCACGAACACGGCATCAATTTGCTATAGTCATTTGGAGTGGCGCGACGAACGCTTTGTGTGATGAGCCCAACTCCAATTACATAAGTTCGTAGATATTTCTTTAGTTACTACATAAGTAGGTAAAGTGGCACACGGGTAGCGCGTGCCAAGGTTTCATCATCTGATTGGTTAATAATGAGGAACTAGACTCACTTATTAACCAATCAGGTGTAGACATGTGTTCGAGTGGCTCACACGAGGCCAGGGGTAGCCGCCCTTGTCCTAAATAAATCAGAGTTGAATTTGACACAAACCAAAGACTTGGCTCTACTATTGCGAGCTTCCTCCACACTATAGTGTAAGCAAGTGACGGTAACTCCTACCCGTTACACTTTGTGTATATTTCGAGCACATGAAAAATGATCAACGTGGTACACGACCTCGAGATCCTCGCCGTGTCTACGCTAATCCGTTGTCACCCAAGATCTGCCCCGTTCTCGCTCTTGGTATGCACTTAAAAAAATACTTTAAAGTGATCAATATTTTTAAATTTTATCTACTGTGCGTACAGGAGTGTATTAGTCGACGTATGGTGTAGACACCGCTGATTCTCATTTAATTCCGGGAAGTGATCAACATGAGCGATTTTGGAAGATGTTGGGTCGAGTCTTAGAGGGGCCACAGGTAGCTGAGGAGCTCGAACGTCGAGGGGTTGCTGCAGGAGACCTCGGAACTCACTCAATGCGGAAGAGGGCCTCCACATATTGCTCGTCAGGGTCGACAGCATGACCACCATCCGTAGCAGCTCATTTACGTGCTGGTTGGTCAATGGGCGGGGTGCAGGACCGATATCCTCGTCATGATGCTGCTGGTGACATGTTTGTTGGGCGAACAGCTAGCGGTCTTCCTATTTTTAAGCTAGAGTTGCATCTCTTCCTCCGCATTTTGTCGATGGCGAGGAAGATGTGCAAAAGGCAAAACGACTATGCTTTCCTGGTCTCCCCGAATCTGTTGGATTTAGTGCAGAGTTCGTATTGGCATTATTTATCTGTCATTTGGAGTTTCTTCGCGAATAGCTTCCCGACAACCATCCGATTTTTCAGTCACCTCTACTTGGAGATGCAGAGTTGATATGTCAACTTAAATCTTACATCCGCAGTGAATGCCTCGATTTGGGGATGCAACCCACAGGCATTCCTCCAAATGTCACTTTATTAGGGAAATTCCGTGCTGCTCGAAATGAGCTGAAGGCCGAAATTAAAAGTCGAAAATTGGACCTGCAAAATATTGCCGAGTCTCAGAATACGATGTGTCAGAAAATTCTTGCCGGAGTGTCAACAATACTGGAGGAACGAGCAATTGAGACTGGTGTCCCCACATGCGAGAGTATCGCATCATCTATCATGAAGAAATTGGAGGATACAGGTGTACTACATCACTTACGCACTAGTGACGATGTCGCTATCGATACGGTAGATACAGCTAGCGATGCGGCGTTGCATTCCAGAGAAGAAGTTGAGGAATCTAGTGAGCCGGTATACCCTATTTATCATTGGGGTGGTGGTATGCACCTCTTTCCACTAGGCTTGAAGCTGCCGACTGGGAGTGCAGAGCAGGCGTGGGTGTACTGGTGCTGTGAAGATATGTCACGAAACTTACCTCGCCTCCGACAGTTGCGTCCGGCTGACTTGAGTGACCCAAACCAGCGGAAGCCACTTTTTGAGCTTCGATTCCTTATGAGGAAAATCGAGCTAAAATCATCGGAGAATCGTCTGGCAACAACAAATATTTCCTTCAGTACTGCAGCCGACATATTTCAACAGTGTAAACAGTCTATCGAGCTACCCACGTCGACAGAAACCAGCAGAAAACGGCGCAGGGGCAGCTTGTCTGGGTATCCATGGCAACACTACGAAGAAGGAAGGCGAAAGTAGTGCTGATACTAATGAGCAGTGAAAAGCTTGTGTCACAATTTGTGTCGTGGATAATATCCAGAACATATCCTTAGAATACCTAAGGTTATTTCCATCCTGAAGTATCGGTTATCCATCCTGTAAATTCCGCCCACCTGTAAATGAAACAGACCCTAACTCGCTACCCTTTAACTACCGTACAGACAACGACGGTGAAATCCGCCATACCATGCAAATCCGCCACGAACACTTGTTCAAAATAAAAGATTTGAAAGGTTTTTATTTTAGCCAATGAATGAGTAAATTGAATTGACTGGCTCCTACGGGCAGCATTGCATGTACAGTTAAAAAAAATTATCACTTTGGGAAATGGCGCCCAGCGCTCTACAATTCTAACCAAGCGCGAAGCAATCGCGACTGCTGAGGCGTTAGGAAGCTGCCAAGCCGTCAAAGAAACTAAATACCCTCGAACGACTCTGTGCGACTGGCTAGACGATAAGGAGAACATCCAAGACTTTGCAGGTGCCCAAATCAGCAAAACCTTGAAGGGTCAGGGCGCAGCGCCGTTAATATCCTTCTCACACGATTTGGTAACCTTTATGAAGGATGTGCGGCGAGAAGAAGGGAAACCGTCTTGTCATTAGTTTATTTTTACATTGTGACCTAAACCCCCTTGTTTCTTAAACCCCCTTGTTTCTTAGTTTTTGTGTGAACAGGTTTAATGATTCAATATTTCAAAGAGCAGCATCCGCGATGGCTTCAAACGTAACTTGTTGGTAAGGAAAGCGATGAGAAGGGTCTAAGTGCGCCAATGAGACTTTGTCAGCGGTTTGCAGCACGGTAATATCTTTTGATTAGTTGGTTTTATAAAATTACTTTCTCAAATAGTGTGATAGTCGTGGATTTACAGTGCAAAAGCCACAGTTCGCAAAACAGAATCAAGCCGAAATGATCGAAACGCATTGGCATTTTGCCGTGAAGTTTTGGGATGAATATGAGTCATTTCCTCTAGACGCAATCTACAACGTCGATGAAACAGCAGTGAATTTCGATATGCCATCTTTAAAAATTTGGGCTTTGAAAGGTCGGAAAGGATCGGCTAAGGTCAAGCGGACCCAAAAACACTCCGGGCGATTGACTGCTGTTATAATAGCTCGTGCTGACGGTTCGTATTTTTTATTTTGTGCTTTTTTTGTTTTACTATATATACAAATGTGTAAAGGAAAGAAACTTCCGATTCTTTTTATTTTACGTGCGAAGCCAGGTGGATCTATCGAAAAAGAGGAGCTACCAACATATCCGGTTGGTCATGTATACTCAGTGCAGGAGAACGGTTGGATGGATGCCAAAGTGTGGGCGATATATGTACGAGAGCTGCTCAAGTTCGAGATCGAGGCACCATCAATGCTTATACTTGATAACTTCTACGCACATGTCTCAAAAGAAGGACTTGCTGTTGTTGCCGTGACAACGTCGGCCCTGGTTTGCCAACTACCACCCAACAGTACAGCGGTCTGCCAGCCACTAGACGTTGGGGTCATGGGACCTTTGAAAAAGAAAATTACAGGATAGTGGCTGTAAGACATCAGCGCGGAGACGAACTTTGCAGCTGAAACTACTGAAGACTCGGCGAATGACGCAGCATCAGTATATTGTAGCAAGTGTGGACGGCTGGAAACTTGCACGTGCTGGGAGGAGTGCATCTGCTGGGACGAGTGCATCTGCTGGGACGAGTGCATGTGCGATGGAGAGTGCTGGTGCCTGCAGGAGTGCGTCTGCGTGACACCAAACGAGGACGATAACGGCGCGAGCGAATCGAACACTGTGAGCACGGACAACGAGGTCGTAGATAAATCGAAGGCAGAGAACAAGGCGGCCAAAAAACGTCTTGCTACAATACCACGGACGATCGAGGCGTGGGGGGAGCTTTCAGAAGAAGTCGTAGCGAAAAGCTTCTGGAAAGCTATTCCGATGTGCCCGATAGTTGAAATATAATCACATTTTTTTTACTTTGCTTTTTGCTAGCTAATTCGTTTTATCTACCAATAAAATTGTGCGACGAATTTTTCTGTCGAGAAAACAAAAAAAAAGAACTACTATGGAGGATGGCGTTCAGAGGGTGGCGGATTTCACCGTCGTTGTCTGTATTTGAGATCTCATACTTTCCCATTTTTTTAAGTTGTGCTATCGTAAATAGCCTTGGAATATCAAAAAAATTGATATTCCATTTAATGAAGGGAAAAGGACATCTTAATAAAGCAGCCTAACTATCTGTAAATTATTCATCGGTCGCTAATGCATCAATGTCTCGGATTGCATCTACTTGTACTACTACTACATATCGAACAAAGGAATATCCTCGAGAACGGCCAAACAGCTCAGCAATCTGGCTCTGTGTCGAGCAACGCCTGCTCTACAGCATTCCCCGCTGTTTAAACATGCTGCTTAAGCAGGGGTACGTAAAAACTAATGGTATGGCCATAAGGATGACAATAATTTATGGCCATTGTGTATGGAATTGCGAAAAATGGGACGAAATATATAGTAGTCAATACAAAGCACAAGTGGAAGGTGCAATGCTCTATCTCCAGTTGCGTTTAGTGTCTTCTATTCATTGGCAACAGCGTAATATGACCTACCGATAGCAGTGCATTGAAAATGTGCTCTATTGGTGATCGTCGATGATGCCTCTCCACCACACTTTCTGTTGTGTATATAGTGCAGATCAAGGAATATGGGGAGTCTCCATTATAAACTATGGGCCCATAATGGATGGAGCGGGGATTTGGCCCTCCCCATTAATAGTCCATAACCATTTGCAGACCCCTATGCTTAAGTAGGATGTTGGCCTTGCAAAACCCACTGGCAGCGACAGACATGAAGAGAGCTCCAAGCTGCTTTCGACCACATTATCCCACGCTCTCGTAGCAGTCTTAGGAATGTATACGAAGCACGGTGCCTGTCACAGGGATGCCCTCTCTCCTCAAAGAGTTTATCCGGCGCACTACCTGCTCCTCGAAATCGGCCGATAGGGTCGCTGACATCCCTAGTTTTCTGTTTTTGCAATGTGATCCACAGCCCGTTTCGCACTCATCGATGATAAGATTGCGCTGATTCAACCAGTTATACACTTGCACTTTCACTTTGTCAGCCTCGAGAAAGGGGTAAAAGTAGCTGATAGTGGACTGCATTATCTCCCTAAAGATGATTGCGGATAAAAGATATCGCCGCTCGTTTAAATTGCTTTGGTAGTTTTCCCCATGGCGTTTTCCTCGCAATGAATGGCTCTCCGCTGCTGCATTCGCCGTATTTTTACGCTACGTCTTATGAGATCTAAATTAATGGCCTGTAATATTATTGCCATTCGATTAGTTTAAGCAAGGTATGTAGTTATAATAGAGATCTCTCTGTAGAATGATCTCCAATACGGTACGATCTTTCTCAATTTCGCTGTTATGCTGTCACAACGCAAGTTGATTCGAGATCAGTTGAAAACAGCGTGCAATCAACTGGATATAGGCTGAAGGTGGTGGTATTCCATCACGTATTAATACCGAAAAGCACTTTCGTCGGTTGGGTTGGCAATAAGCACATCATGCTCCGGCAATGGTGGCGGGACCGAGAGCAAATTCGCGCCGAAGCTTAATCTCGCTGTCGCCTCGTCAATAAACCAGGTGTCTTAACCACCTGAGCTGTCAGGGCTTACCAAGAAATACAACGCCGTAATTCCCATAGACTGCGCTCTATAATAATAGCTGGGCATATTATTATGTATTACTACATAGTAAATCTATTTGCGTAATACTGGCTCATTACACGAAGCAGATTGTGGAAATATACACTTACGTTTGACCCTTAAAATAGCTTATTTCCTAGGTTCCCAGATCGGCCTCCGTCTTTTTGCTAACGTTGCGGGTCGCATTCTCCGTTGAGGGTGATCCTTAGCATTTTCCATCACCGATGAGCTTACCATGATGCTGTTCTGGGCCGTGTGTTACACACTGTGTACGAGCAAAGCTATTCTGCACGATTTTAATATTTTTGGTCCGGCAAGGATTTACGTCTAGTTTTACTCAATTACCGGTGGTGGCACCTTGAAAACTTTTCACGGTGCCGCAGGTACAGGCCTTGTCGGCATTACCTGCATCAAAAGTGCTTCCAGGAAGATTATGGATTGCTAGAGGAACTCGCGACCCGTTTCAAACCAATACAAGCGTGCTCCAGCTGAGTTTACATCGTCGAGTACGTTTACGAAGTCGCTAATAAAACTTAACAGACGACTAAGAAATGAGGACTCTGAAATACAAAACGTTTTTTATCTGGTATTCACATGTCAAAACGAATGCCGCTTAAGACCATCAAGATAAACCTACAGCAGCGATCAAGCCCTTGCGCTTCTACTTATCTCTTGAGGTGGCTCACGTACTTGAACGTGAGGTAGATGGCCACTTGCAGCACGACCCAGATCACCAGCAGTCCCGCCATAAAATTGTACTTGCTCTCAGGACGGAAGTCGTACGTTTTCTCGATGTAGGCGGACACCGTCATGTCCGTCGACGCGTTGCCCATCGTCACCGTTATGATGTCTTGGTTAGTGCCGAACTGCACGCCCACAAGTGCTGCAAGTGAGTAGCTCGACGGCATCAGGTACGTGAACCACTTGTAACCGGCCTTCATCGACGGACGCGGCAGCAGGTAGCCCGAGAACAGATTGAACAGACACGACAGCGCACCGACAGCCACGTTCGCCACCTTCTCGTTGGGCATCAGAGCAGACATCCACTGACCCACGTACGTACACGCCGACGTGTAGAGGTAGAAGACGAACATGAAGAAGATGAAGTCGCCTCCGTTGTCGCTCCAGCCCACGAGCCAGTACTCGATCGTCACGAACAGCACGATCACGATGATCAGGTAGGGAACCTCGGCGAACCACAGCGATAGACTGTAGGGCAGTGGACCGTAGTAGTTCGACATGCGTTCACGGTAGAACACGGCGCGCTCGGCACACGTGACTTCCAGCACCGTCATGAGGTTGATGACTCCGATAAAGTCCATACTGTTGTAGATGAGACCAATGTGCGAGTTGATCTTCTTCACGCTGCCCGCAGACAGCTGGTAGAACGTGGTGCCGAAGATGACAGCGAACAACGGGAACAGGAACATGCGCATGAAGTTGTACTGCGGGTTGCGCCAGTACGTGAGCTGCTGCTTCTTAGCCAAGTGACCCAGCTGGTTCCAGAAGCCCGTCGCGATCGGTGTGTAATTGAGCGTCGAGTGGCATATAAAGTCTTCCGACACCTCGGCCAACTCAAGAGTGCGTTCACGGTTCGACTTGTACAGCTCGCTGTTCTTGTACTCGATCGAGTAGTCCTTGACGTCACGGCCGATACCCGCGCCAATCACTTCAAGCATGTACGTGGCCGGGTTGTACTGCGGTCGGATTTCCTGCGTTCCGGGGATCGACTCGAAGTACTCGAGCATCTTCACCGAGTCCACGCCAAGGTCGCCGAAGTACGCCGTAAAACCTCCCTTCTGAAGTAGAAGTAGTCCATCGAACAGCTCGAAGATCGAGATGCTAGGCTGGTGGATCGTGCACAGCACCGTACGGCCCGTGCGGGCGATCGACTGCACGCCTCGCATCACGATGAGAGCCGAACGAGCATCCAGACCACTCGTGGGTTCGTCCAGGAACAGGATGCTCGGGTTGGCCACCACCTCCACACCGATCGTCACACGCTTCTTCTGCTCCACAGACAAGCGACCCACCATCTCGCCAGCGATAGGCGACAGCTCCAGCAGCTCCAGCGTCTCGCTCACAAGGTTCATCCGCTCCTTCTCCGTGAACGTGGGAGGCAATCGTAGGTTGGCGGAGAAAACCAGCGCCTCGTAGATCGTCGCGGCCTCCGAGTGAATGTCCATCTGCTCGCAGTACGCCGTGATGCGACTGAAGTTGGCCGGGTTCTTGGCCTCGCCGTTCACGATGATGTCACCAACAATGCGTCCGCCCGTTTTGCGGCCGGCGATCACGTCCATCAGCGTCGTCTTGCCGGCACCCGTTGCACCCATAAGAGCCACAATGCGACCGGGCTCGAAGTGCGCCGTAATGCCACGCAGTAGCTGCTTCTCTTCGCCCGACGGCAGCGTCACGAAGTACTCCAAGTCCTTGATGCACAAGTTCGACGGCGTGAACGGCAGACCGGCGCCACGGGCCTTTGACTGCACGACGTCCCCGGACCCGGGCGTGCGCACTTCCACGTACACGTTGTCTTCCTCCGGAGCGTTGTCCGTCATGGACTTCACACTAACACCCTTGTACTTTTCGTAGCGGATGAAGTGCAGCGCCAGCCCGTTCAACGTCGTGAAGAACAGGTAGTAGGCCACCAGAATGCCAATGCCAAACCAGACGTACTCTGTTCCTTCCGAGATCGAGAAGCTGTCCAGGAACTTGGTGCTCTGTGCGGGCGTGTACCGGTCGCTGGAGAACTCGGACAGCATATTACTGCGCAGCGCCCACGCCAGCGGGTTGAACCAGTACATCCAGATCCAGTAGTTCGGGATCAGGTCGGCCAGAATAATGTTACCAGAGAACAACAGGAAGAAGCTCACGGAGATACCCGCCAGCGCCTGACCCACCGTGATACTAGGCGACAGAGAGCTCAGCATCGTCATGTACGCGCCGATGGCGTGCTGAAAGCACACGAGCACCAGGAAGAAGATGATGTACTTCTCGAACGTCCGGGTCAGTCCACTCATGAAGTAGAAGAACGTGCCCAGGATGAATGACACCGACAGGTTCACCGGAATCTGCACCACCGTCTCCGCAATAGCGTACGACGTCGTGCGAAAGAAGTTGCGTGGCCGTTGCTTGTAGAAGACGCCGCGCAACTGGAACGAGATGGTGATCTGCTGCCACGCTTGACGCTGGAACAGCGCGATACTGAAGAAGATCATACGCAGGTAGTACGTCGAGCTCACGTTGTAGTAGATCATACCGAGCACAAGACCCACGATCAGGGCTTCAAACAGCTTTCCCCAGAGCAGCGGCGGGTCTCGCAGCCAAATGAGCTTCTGACGGCTCAGCAGCAACATGGTACTTGGGACGAACGCCAGCCCGAACTCCGATTTCTGCTTCGAGCGCGCCAGGTTGGCCACGCTCTTGGCCTTCTGGAAGTCTTCCGGGTTCTCAAACTGGTGCTCGTTGAAGCCCTTGCTGATTGCCTGGTGCGTCTTCATGTAGATGCTCGACTGGCAAAACAGGTTGTTGAAGTCCTCGGACGTCACGGCCAAGTCCTTCCGCTCCACTTTACCGTTCGAGTAGCTGTCTCCGCGACCCGACGTCACCTCGATCAAGAAGTCGGCCGGGTCCACACGTGGAGGACAGCTGAAGCCGCGCTCGTCGAAGTAGTCGAGGATCTCGGTGCGAGGTCCGTGGTACACCATGTGACCTTCGTTGACCATCAAGATATCGTCGAACTGCTCCACCACCTCAGGCGTCGGTTGCAGAAGTGCCACAATGACCGAACCGCCAAGCGTCTTGCACCACGTGCGAAGCGCCTTGATGATGTCGAACGTCGCTGCACTGTCCAGACCCGTGGAGATCTCGTCACACAGGAACAGACTCTGGCCACCGACCAGCACCTCACCCACCGTGACTCGCTTCCGTTCACCACCACTCACACCTCGCAGCAGCGCATTACCCACCACGGTGTCGGCACAGTTCCCCAGACCCAGGATCTGCAAGAACAGCTCGGTGCGAAGAGCGGCGATGTCGCGCATCGCCTCCGGTTGGTCTTCCGGACGCCCGTTCACGCACATGTCTGCGAACTTGAACGTCTCGCGCACCGTGAGTGTCGGGATGTGGTTGTCCGTCTGGTCAACCAGACCCACCAGCTTGATCAGGTCAATGTCTTCACCTTTTAAACCTGAGTACAGGATCTCCCCTCCGATCTCCGTCTGCTTGTTGTCTTGCAGCTTGCCGGCCAATGCCTTCAGAAACGTCGACTTGCCGGCACCAGGGTTGGCCAGAATCAGCGTCATAGAGCCCGGTTTGATGATGCCGCTCATCGGATGCAGCGCGTGCTTGGTGGTCATGGGCACCTTCTGCCACGGTGTGAAGATGGAGCTCAGGTGCGAGCCAACCGTGCCGTAGGCACCAGCCTCCGCCGGCACCTGCACCGAGAACGACAGGTTCTCAAAGCGCACCTCGGGCGTCGGTAGCTGCAGGTTGATCTTGCGTGACAAATGGTTGTACTTCTTGTAGAAACGCTCGAGACCGCCGTTGAGCATCGTCTCGAGGTTGTCGGCTCGCAGCGTGCTGTATCGACTCGTCATCGTGTCACCTCCGCGGTGCGAGTACGGGTCCTGTAGACTGCGGAAGTTGAGCGATCGGTACACGCCGGGCACCTCTTCGCCAGCATCGTTGGCCTCGGGCTGCAACAAGCTCATCCTGGACTCCGTCGAAAAGGTAGGAAACAGCTAGAGGTGTCGCGGCTCGTGTGTCGTTCGGCTGGATAGTCAACCGAACGGAGTCCTCGGCTGGCCGAGGGAAATTTAAGAGTGAGGACTGAAGAGCTCCGTGCGCAAAGCATCCATGGGGAGGTTGGTCACTTGCCAGGAAGAGAACGTGTCTTCTGGGAGAGGAGAAGGGAAAGGACTTTATGGAGGACGATATGTGTGGATGATTGGTAATGCCACGCCGATCTTATCGTAGATACTGGTTCAAAATATCGGTAGAGTAAAATAGGTCTAACCGTCTGGGTTGGGTGGTGCCGCATGGGAAGCGAGCTTAGTCAAACCTGGCGCTCGAAGCTCGTTATCGCCACGATCACACATTCTGCTGGTAATCTACCCGCTCATATGTGCGCCTTTGAGGTGCTTATTAATACCGATGCTATTGGCTGATCGTATGTGGCCAGCTTCACATTTAATGCTAAATAATCCAATTATTTTAAAAACCCAAAACTATTTCTGTTCAATAAACAAAACAATTCAATTATTGCTTAAATTTAACTTCACTAACTGTCTGGAAATGGAAAACATTCATTAATATTCGATTTAACAATTAAAACGTGGGCAACAGCAAGTTGTTTGCAACAATGGCGCCATCGACTTTGGCTTTGAAGCGGCGATGGGACTTCCTGAAGCCCTGGTGCCAAGTGCTGCAGCACCGAATCAGCTACGTGTGGCCACGTGAAGAAGACGTCTGGGTCTTTCAACGCCGCCGACTGGACGTCTACTTGCCAACCCGGCACGACGTCACCCAATCATTTTGGGAAGAACCGGAGCCTCTTTATTCCAATAATCAGGATTTTCAAAGTTGTTTTATGAAAGTACGCGAAGAAGGAGATAAAGCGGCGACGGGTACTAAACGCGCAGAGGAGAGCACGGACGGCGAATAGTGCTGGCGATGAGGTGGACGCAGCTATTGCGACACTGGACGCTGCACAACTGGGGCGTTTGAAGTGCACCTCCCGGCCGACTTTGTGCTCTATTTCCTTCGAGATGAGAAGAAATACCCTGAATCTCTCAAAAATGATATTGTTAAATTTTGTGGCGTCCACCAACGGGAACATGCCAGTTCCGCGTATTTAAAGGCGCTCAAGCGGATCGCATCGTTGGACAAGCACTTGGCGTCGAACAAGCCTGGAGTCGACATTAAAATTCCAGTTCGAGTGCATTTTTCAATGACGCATCCGGCCTCCTACGAGTCTTTGTGTGAAGACTTCGAGCCCCTGAAGCAGATTCACTGCGCTGAAAAACGCTTGCAACAAGAGTGGCAGAAATACGAACGAAGTCGCAAGAAACGAGACGTCGAGCCTTGTAATCTGCGATGCACGTTTGTACTGGAACCCATGATCGCAAGCTTCAACGACACCAAGATCACGCCCGACCTGGCCGAGACTATGCAGACTTTAGGGCAGGACAATACGTGGTTTGCAAATGTCTCGCTCTGGTTCATGAATCGTGGGCTGGAAGAGAACGAGTATACGTCGCGGAAGGCGATTGGCCAGTTGATGTCCTCCATCTTTGGCGACACGCGACGCAGCCATGAACTCGCTAGTAGTCGCTACTGTCGTGAAGCTGATGATCTTCCGTTGCCGCTCCAGTTCGGATCGATCCTCTTGGAGTGCGATGGATCCATCAACCCGACGAACTTCGAGGCGATGGGCTCGGCACTCGTGGTGAACCAGAGTACCAGGAAGTTCGAGATGCTGCTGGAAATGGACCCGGACGACCCCACAACTAGCCGTCACTGGTGGAGATGGCTGGCTTACGCTCTGTTCTCCAAACGAGCACGCGCGTGCTCTGCACTGGAATCTCTAGCGCTTTCTCAGATCGGTAGAATGAGTGTATCGGACGTTGAGGCCTTTTCAGCCATCTTGACGTCCAAGCACCCGGAAGAAGAACTATTTGGCCTCAGTCGAGGTGCTGTCGAGGACAGAGATGCGACGATAAAGGCGGGCGCTCGGCTCCACTACAAGCTCAACAAGCGAGGCCAGCCACCAAGAGGAGCCCAGCATTTGACCTTCGAGACGCCCATAACCTCAGCTCGCATCTTCGGTGACGACGGCAGTAGCGAGTGGGTAAACGTTCTTGTTCCAGGCTATGGTCGATGCTACGTACAACGCACAGACTTGGAGCTGCAGGATACGTCTCCCGTCTCTGCTGGTGGCGTGACGGACCTCAAAATTGATTTTGCACAAGACGAGTCGATCTCGGACGGCTTACCGAGATTTCTGGCGGCAATTGGCTACTTGTTGAAGACCCTCACACTTAATATAGCGGACATTGAAGTGGACGTGAACGAAATCGTTCTCAACTGTCCCAACCTGGAGGAGTTGTCGCTTTGTGGCGGGCATATGATGGACATTCGACTCAACTTGAGCGAGTATCGTGCCAACAAGCAGCCTATTCCAGACCTCACAGTGGCTTGGAACGATGTCGTCGCACTTGCGAATGCCCTGGCGAGTGTGGACAACCCCCTTGCCAAGTGTGTGCGTCGACTGCGTGTCCACCAGATCGACCAATGGGCAGCTTGGGGCATCATTGTGGCAGACCACAACAACCGTCCAGCCTTTCAAGCGGGTCTACGAGCTCTTCTGGACATGCTGGCGGTCAATAAATCGCTGGAATATCTCGACGTGGTTGTGCCATTCGGACATTTTATCTATCTGGATGACTTTCGACGCCATCACTTGGAGCCTCTCAGCCGCTCGCTCGCACTCTCGATGGACACTAAGATCGCCTTCCTCAGTGTCGTTTCGACGTGTTCCAGGCCAGTTGCACCCAGTAAGCCACAGAAGAGAAGAGCGACCAGATCGACTCGTGCTAGACGCCCACTCAGTGAGCTGAATCAGAACGTGATCTCCACGATATTTGCCTTTGCAGCCCCGCGTGTTCTGCGTGAAGTGTACTTGCGCGACCCACCGGATGGTCGGGGAGAGGAACCTGAAATCCTACCCATTTAACGTATCAAGGTATGCGATTAATGAACGACTTAGATTCATCTTTAGCCTACACAAAACGCCGGAACAGGCTTCCTCGTTCCATAGCAACGATGCGACTGCTGAGACGCGACCACTTTAATGTGAAGAAACCAGCACGATGCTGCTTAGCCCCCCCCCCGCCCCCCCTGGGTTTTCATAGACGAGCTGCTGCTCCCTAGCGATCACTCTTTAATAATAGAGGACAGCCGCAGTCCCTAAGAGCCACATGCGACGCATGAAAACACTGCAGCAATGGGAGACTTGTAACGACCCGCTGGGAGTTTTACTGATCCCATACATAACTCACCGCTCGCACGTCGGCAGTCTCACTTTGCATCTTTCGCTGCGCTGCGCCAGTCTCTTCCTATCTCCAGCTCAAGACAGAGATCGACTCAAAGCTGACCGGTTCCTAGAGCCACCATGTCGGACGACAAGCGAAGTCTGCTGCAGCCGGAGGCCCCGGCGGCCACCGAAGAAGTGCCGCAGGTGTACCGGTCGCTCAACTTCCGCAGCCTGCAAGACCCGTACTCCCACCGCGGTGACACCATGGCCAGCCACTACAGTACCTTACGCACCGACAACTTGGAAGCGATGCTCAACGGTGGCCTCGAAAAGTTCTACAAGAAGTACAACCACCTGTCCCGGAAGGTCAACCTACAGCTACCTACACCCGAGGTGCGTTTCCAGGACCTGTCGTTCTCGGTACAGGTCCCTGCGAGCGTAGGTGGCCACAACACAGTGGGCTCTCATCTGGCGTCGATCTTCACACCGTGGCAAAAGGTGCCGATGATGACCAAGCATGCACTACACCCAATGACCGGCATCATCAAACCAGGTTCAATGACGTTGGTCCTGGCCAACCCGGGTGCCGGCAAGTCGACGTTCCTTAAGGCCATGGCCGGTAAGCTACAGGACAACTCGAAGGCGGAGATTGGAGGCGAGATCTTGTACTCAGGCCTGCGTGGCGACGAGATCGACTTGATCAAACTAACCGGACTGGTCGACCAGATGGACAACCACATTCCGACGCTGACTGTGCGTGAGACGTTCAAGTTCGCCGACATGTGCGTGAACGGTCGTCCAGAAGACCAACCGGAGGAGATGCGGGACATCGCTGCTCTCCGTACGGAGCTGTTCTTGCAGATCCTGGGTCTGGAGAGCTGTGCCGACACTGTGGTCGGTGACGCTCTGCTGCGTGGTGTGAGTGGCGGTGAGCGTAAGCGTGTGACTGTCGGCGAAGTGTTGGTCGGTGGCCAGAGTCTGTTCCTGTGTGACGAGATCTCGACGGGTCTGGACAGTGCCGCCACCTTCGACATCGTCAAGTCCATGCGTACGTGGTGCAAGACATTGGGCGGCTCTGTCATTGTGGCACTACTGCAACCGACACCCGAAGTTGTGGAGATGTTCGACGATATCCTAATGATCCACGAAGGCCACTTGGTCTACCACGGTCCTAGAACTGATATTCTGGACTACTTTGAGAACCTCGGCTTCACGTGTCCGCCACGTGTGGACCCTGCAGATTTCCTCATTGAGGTGACGTCGGGACGAGGCCACCGGTACGCGAACGGGAGCGTGGAGACCAGAGACCTCCCTGTCACACCCGAAGAGCTCAATAATTTATTCTGTCAATCGGACATCTACAAGAGAACCCACGAGGCCATCAGCAAGGGCTTCAACGAGCACCAGTTCGAGAATGCTGAGGATTTCAAGAAGGCCAAAAGTGTAGCCAACCTGGCACGCTCGAAGCAGAAATCGGAGTTCGGATTGGCGTTCATCCCCAGCACGTTGCTGCTACTGAACCGGCAGAAGCTCATCTGGCTACGTGACCCTCCTCTACTGTGGGGTAAGCTGCTTGAAGCGCTTATTATCGGTCTGGTTATGGGCATGATCTACTATAATGTGGCCTCGGCGTACTACCTGCGTATGATCTTCTTCAGTATCGCGTTGTTCCAGCGTCAAGCGTGGCAGCAGATCACCATCTCGTTTCAGCTTCGTAAGGTTTTTTACAAGCAACGGCCACGCAACTTCTTCCGTACGACGTCGTACGCGATAGCTGAGAGCGTCGTGCAGATCCCAGTGAACGTGGCGGTATCGTTCGTGCTGGGCACGTTCTTCTACTTTATGAGTGGACTGACAAGGACGTTCGAGAAGTACATTGTGTTCTACCTGGTGCTGCTGTGTTTCCAGCATGCGATCAGTGCGTACATGACGATGCTGAGTGCGCTGTCTCCTAGCATCACGGTAGGGCAGGCGTTGGCTTCGATCTCTGTGAGCTTCTTCCTGTTGTTCTCGGGCAACATTATCCTGGCCGACCTGATCCCGGATTACTGGATCTGGATGTACTGGTTCTCCCCGATCTCCTGGGCGCTACGTAGCAACATGCTCTCGGAGTTCTCAAGTGACCGGTACACTGATGCTCAGAGCAAGAAGTTCTTGGACAGCTTCTCGATCTCGCAGGGTACCGAGTACATCTGGTTTGGTATTGGCATTCTTGCTTTGTACTACTTCCTGTTCACCACGTTGAACGGCATGGCTCTACACTACATCCGCTACGAGAAGTACAAGGGTGTGAGTGTGAAGACCATGACGGACAAGCCGTCGGATGACGAGATATACGTTGAAGTGGGTACACCAAGTGCTCCTAACAGCGGTGTTGTCAAGAGCGGTGGGCTGCCCTTCACGCCGTCGAACCTGTGCATCAAGGACCTCGAGTACTTTGTGACACTGCCATCGGGTGAGGAGAAACAGCTTCTCCGTGGCATCACAGCGCACTTCGAACCCGGTCGCATGGTGGCGCTCATGGGTGCGACGGGAGCCGGTAAGACGACGCTGATGGATGTGATTGCAGGTCGTAAGACTGGCGGACGCATTGTCGGTGACATTATCGTGAACGGCGAGCCCAAGAACCCGGCCAACTTCAGTCGTATCACGGCGTACTGCGAGCAGATGGACATCCACTCGGAGGCCGCGTCGATCTACGAGGCACTGGTGTTCTCAGCTAACCTGCGTCTACCGCCGACGTTCACGAAGGACGAACGTATGAACCTTGTGAACGAGACGCTGGAGCTATTGGAACTCAGTCCAATTGCTGGTGCAATGGTTGGTAGTCTCTCCGTGGAACAGAAGAAGCGCGTGACGATCGGCGTGGAGGTGGTGTCTAACCCCAGTATTCTCTTCCTGGATGAACCGACGAGTGGTTTGGACGCGCGATCGGCTTTGATCGTGATGCGTGGGGTTCAATCTATCGCCCGTACTGGCCGCACGGTGCTGTGCACGATCCACCAGCCTAGTATCTCAATCTTCGAGCTGTTTGATGGTCTGCTGTTACTTCAGAAGGGTGGCTTCACGGCGTATTTTGGTGACCTTGGTGTAGATTCAGTGAAGATGCTCGAGTACTTCGCTTCAATCCCCGGGACGATGGAGATCCGACCGCAGTACAACCCCGCTACTTACATGCTGGAGGTTATCGGCGCCGGAATTGGCCGTGACGTCAAGGATTACTCCGTGGAATACAGGAACAGCGAGCTGTACAAGTCGAACCGTGAACGCACTCTAGAGTTGGCCGAGGGGTCGGAAGACTTTATATGCCACTCGACACTCAACTACCGGCCGATCGCGACGGGCTTCTGGAACCAGTTGAAGGAGCTGACGAAGAAGCAGCAGCTCACGTACTGGCGCAACCCGCAGTACAACTTCATGCGCATGTTCCTGTTCCCGTTGTTCGCTGTCATCTTCGGCACCACGTTCTACCAATTATCTGCCGCTAGTGTCAAGAAGATCAACTCGCACATCGGTCTCATCTACAACAGTATGGACTTTATCGGAGTCATCAACCTAATGACGGTGCTGGAAGTCACGTGTGCCGAGCGCGCCGTGTTCTACCGTGAACGGATGTCGAACTACTACGGTCCGTTGCCCTACAGTCTGTCATTGTGGTTCGCTGAGATCCCGTACCTCATCATTGTGATCATCCTCTTCGTGACGATCGAGTACTGGCTCGTCGGCTGGAGTGACGACGCCGGCGACTTCTTCTTCTTCATGTTCGTCTTCTACCTCTACACGTCGGCGTGTACGTACGTGGGTCAGTGGATGTCGGCGCTGATGCCGAACGAGAAGGTGGCGAACGTAGCTGTCGGCGCGTTGTCGTGTCTGTTCAACCTGTTCTCGGGCTATTTGCTGCCGCGTACAGCCATGAAGCACGGCTACAAGTGGTTCCAGTACGTCATGCCGTCCAGCTACTCGCTCGCAGCACTGGTGGGCGTGCAGTTCGGTAAGAACCAGGATATCATTGCCGTGACGGCGAACAACTCGACCAAGCAGATGACGGTGGCGGACTACATTTCCAACACGTACGACTTCCGTCCGGATCGCAAATACGACTACATGGTTGGCTTGATCGTCATTTGGATCGTGGTGCAGATGGCAATCTATCTCACGTTCAAGTACGTGAGCCACCTCAAGCGTTAAACACATCGTCGATGACAAAATACTGTCGTCAAAGACCATTTGTTATTTTCCATTAACAACTGCATTTATAATTTTCTTTAGAGAAGAAATTACCATCTTATAGCAAGGAATCCTTACTAAGCATTCCTTTGAGGCCCGTTCTCTACAGTAGTTGACGGTTCACATCACAACTCACCAAACGATCCTTAAAGACAGGAGCCCCGTTGATGCACCGGTCCCAACCCGCTGTAGCATGACCAAAGTAAAAGCTGACGTGACTTCGCTTGCAGACTGGGCGTCGACATCATTTCTGTCACGTAAGCAGTCATGCACTGTCCATGGCGAGGATAGTCTTCGATCAGCATTTCATCTCCATCATACATTAGGAAAACACGGAGGTTGTCAATTTCTCACGCGTGGCCTTCCAGGACGTTGATTGGCGTGGTTTCGAAGCACCATTGACCAACCGAACGGCCACATCGGCATGATAGTCGGGAGAGCGGAAGTTCACGAGGTCGATCATTGAAATTAAGATTCCAGCCCACCGACATACATGTAAACGCTACCTTGAGGGAAATCTGCCATTCTTCAATTCTCCAGCGCGATAACAAGCTGGACAAGAACCCGAAGATGAGACCGACTGCTGTCATCCTTGCTACGTCGATCGGAACGGCAGCGCATTGCATTGACGCAGCTGCAGACCAGTACGCACTAGGAACATTGTTCATCGTCGAAATCGATGTCGACGCGACATCAGTCGAAGTGGTGAATTCTGCGGGCGACCAAGTGTGGAAGTGTACGTATTGTCGTCTGTGGTTGGCGATAGTGACGAGTAAATACTAACCTGGTTTCTTTTTAGCTGCTTCGGACCGCGCTTTCGTCTCGGCTTCGACGGGACTCACTGTCCCGTACCCGGGAATGTAGGCGTCGTGCCAGGCGCTGGCGGGCCGGCTTTTGTGACAAGGGACCTCGGCGAAGGTCAGCGTGCTGCGACGGCGGGAGGCTGGTTCCCGTTGACCCCGCAAGCTCCCACTCACTTCGCACAAGAGACTGGTGAAGTTATGGTGTGATTGTATTGGAACGCTACGGTGGAGAACTGGAACGGTGTGCGAGTTCCCTCCTATCGTCTTACGTGGCGGGGGACAAGGCCGGATGCGCAAGGAGGACCGCGTCTCGGACCTTCCTGTCGCCGCACGAGGACGGATGTCATGGAGAAGGACTCTTTTGGATCAAGATATACTTAAGCGGTGTCGTGTATAGGAAAGCGAGTTGGCGGTAGGCCCTCGTTCATTAGTCTCAGTCTTACATTTACTACCTCTTGCCTAAGCTGAGTGAGAGAAACAAACAAGAAGCTTTTTGGTGTATTAAGTTATCTTGTGCTACCGTTCCTGCCACTACTCGAGACCGTACTCCCTAAACAGCCGCGGACTACCCGACCCTAGAGGTGGTGTAGGACATCACGACGATCACCCAATCGTCGGGAAACTTCGAGTTGAACGGCGATACCGTGGGGACCCCGGCTCAGAATCTCACCATTGGTGATGTGACTTCAACGTCGCAATACGTAAACATCGCGGGTTCATTCGGTGGCTCGGAATGGAATTGGACGTTGTCGTTCTCCTTGGACCCCGATCATTCGCAAAACGCTACTCTTCAACGCAAGTGTCGACGGCTCTGACGTTGCCAACGTCTACCTAGCGTACGAGTCTCCACCCGAAGAAGCTTTCTTCGGATTGGGTGAACAGACTGGAATCGGGAACCTACGCGGTTGGCGTGTACCTGTCTGGACCCGCGAAGGTGGAGCTGGTCGCGGTGAAGAGCCGATCACTTCGGTACTTAACGCCAACCCTTCTGTTTCCGGTCAGTTCGCTGGTGGCTCCTTATTGACGACGTACACGGCTGTCGCTTCCCTTACGTCGTCTCTTGGACGATGGATCGTGTTGGACGGTACCAGCTACGCACTCTTCAATCTCGCCAGTAACGCTACTTCTCCGTTTCAAGACACGGCAAAGAGTTACCTAGCAGGCGACATCATAGAAGGGGACCGCTCTGCCTCGTCGTCTACAACTGTGGAGATTCAATACGAGGGCTCTGCAATTAGTGGTTGGCTTGGTCGAGTCACGGGTGGCAACGTGTTGCTTGACGCTATCGGTGCGTTGACGACAGTCACGGGAAGACAACCGACTCTACCGGATTGGGTGAACGACGGAGCCATTCTGGGCATCCAAGGCGGACAGGAGCTCGTCGAGGGGGTCATTCGAGACGCACAGAACGCGAGCTTGCCATTAGCGAGTGTCTGGCTCCAAGACTGGTCGGGGACTCGACTGCAGGCAGGGGCGTACGGTATTGATGTCCATCGGCTATGGTGGAACTGGGAGCCCGACACGACGCTGTATCCCACGTGGGCCGAGTGGGTGCCGTATCTTCAGGAGCAGTACGATGTGCGTACACTGAGCTACGTCAACACTTTTTTGGCCAACGTCAGTAGCAAGAGCACCGGGTACAACTCAAACTTCTACGATATCGCCCAACGTGAAGCGCGTTTAGTTACGAACACCACCGCAGAGGACGACAGTGTGTGGACTATTACCAGTGGAGTTGGCATCGATGCCGGCATTCTAGATCTGTCGAACCAGACCACTGTCGACTGGTTTAAGGATCTGGTAAAGAAACAGTTCTATTCCGTTCCAATTTCTGGCGGAATGCAAGATTTTGGAGAGTATCTAGCAGTGGACGACTCTGTCAGTCTCTCGCACAGCACAGTAGACCCTCGCGTGTGCCGCAACGCGTACCCGACAGTCTGGGCCTCTATCCTACGCGAAGTTATCGAGGAACTGGACCTAGCCAATGAGACTATCGGATTCCACCGCAGTGCTGGCACTTTTTCAGCTAAACACACGAATCTCTTCTAGGTAGGCGACCAGAACATCGACGCGTCTCGTGAAGATGGATTACGCGCTGTGGTGAGTAGTGCACTCCACATTGGAGCATCCGGTTTCGCCCACACGCACTCGGATGTGGGTGGATACACTACGATCTTGTCTGCTATTGGCAACTTAACGCGAAGTGCTGCGTTGCTTGGACGCTGGGGCGAGCTTAGTGCGTTCAGTGACGCGGCGTTCCGTACCCATGAGGGGAATATCCCACAGGTCAATGTGCAGGCGTACACGAACGCTTCGACTTTGGCGTACCACGCTTACAACACGCGACTATTTCGGAGTCTCAAGAAGTACCGCGTGACACTTCAAGCGGAGTATCAGGCAAAGGGTTGGCCGGTGCTGCGTCACCCGATCGTTTATTCTCCGAACGATTCGACGGCGCGTTCTGTCATTGACGAAAGTTTCTGGGTGGGGGAAGCGCTGTACGTGGCGCCAGTGTACGATGTGAGAGCTACTGCGCTTGAGGTGTATCTCCCACCGATCGAGATCAACAGCGACGGAAGAAGTCTTGATGGCTCGAGTATCAGATACAAGCATCTGTGGAGCGGCGAAGTGCTCGAGGCTGGTCAAATGGTCACAGTTGCCTCATAATGGGGACAACCCGGGGTGTTTGTGCGCTGGCCGATAACCAGCGAAGAGGAAATCCAACTCCAGGGTCTTTGGGACTTTGTCGAGGCTGAGAAAGCCACTGTCTTGACAGCCTAAAATTATCCGCTAAAAAAGCAATTCGAGGTGAACACTACGCTATCTTTTATAGGCAGGCAGAAGTAATGCGACGAGATGAGGCTATTCGTTTCATCACCTTCTTTTTCGAGAACTAGCCGCTTAAATTGTGTGATGTGTCACTCATCTAACTCGGGCAGTTTGCCTTTTCAAGAATAATTTTTGGCATTTATTGGTATAAAGCGGATGTGGGCGAGGTGGTAGGTTACATGCGACCAAGTAGTGATTCTCCTTCTTAAACCTAATTTGGAAGTTTGCGCTACTTCACTTGTGCGTTCGCAGGGTGCAGAGCGACTGTTCTTTTTAGAATCGAAACCAAGTTGCGAAGAGAGAAAGCAGCAAACCACTTGGCAGCAGAGAACGGCAGAAGCTGGCGGTACCATGAGTCTGCTGCTTCCGGAGACCGAGAGCAACTCACCAACAGAAGGAGCACGAGTGCCCGAGGTGTATCAATCTCTTCACTTCCGCAGTCTACAGGAGCCATACAACCATTCAAGTCATGACACGCTAGTGAGTCGATACAGCACTCTGGATGCCAACAATCTGGAAGTCATGCTGGTTGGAGGCCTCGAGCGCTTCTACAAGAAGTACAACCACTTGTCCCGCAAGATTAACCTGCAATTACCGACCCCCGAAGTACGGTTCCAAGATCTGTCCTTTGCAGTGAAAGTGCCGGCTAAAGCAGGTAGCCACAGCACGGTGGGCTCGAACCTGGCCAAGATCTTCACGCCTTGGAAGCGGTCACCGATGGAGACGAAGCACGCGTTGCATCCGATGACTGGAATCATTAAACCGGGTTCCATGACGCTGATTCTGGCTAACCCGGGTGCCGGTAAATCGACGTTTCTCAAGGCACTTGCCGGTAAGCTCCCTAACAGCTCCAAGAATGATATTGGTGGCGAGATCTTGTATTCGGGCTTGAAAGGAGAGGAGATTGAGCTCACCAAGCTCGTGGGTCTCGTGGACCAGACGGACAACCACATCCCGACGCTTACGGTGCGCGAGACGTTCAAATTCGCTGATCTGTGCGTTAACGGACGTCCAGCGGACCAGCACGACGATATGCGGGACATCGCAGCACTGCGAACCGAGCTGTTCCTGCAGATTCTAGGTCTCGAAAGCTGCGCCGATACCGTCGTGGGGAACGCGTTACTGCGTGGTGTTAGCGGTGGTGAACGTAAGCGTGTGACGGTTGGTGAAGTGCTGGTCGGTGGTCAGAGTCTGTTCCTGTGTGACGAGATTTCCACGGGCCTGGATAGTGCCGCTACGTATGATATCATGAAGGCTCTACGCACGTGGTGCAACACGCTGGGAGGAACGGTGGTAGTAGCGTTGCTACAGCCTACACCCGAAGTGGTAGAACAGTTCGACGACATTTTAATGATCCACGAAGGACACATGGTGTATCACGGACCTCGAGTCGACATCTTGGACTACTTTAAGGAACGTGGCTTCACGTGCCCCCCACGCGTAGACCCTGCTGACTTCCTGATCGAGGTGACCTCAGGTCGCGGTCAACGCTATGCAAACGGGAGCGTCGACGTTAAGGAACTTCCCGTTTCGGCAGAAGAGTTCAACACCCTCTTCTGCCAATCCAGTATCTTCAAAAATACATTAGACTCCATCAGCAAGGGCTTCAACGAGCACCAATTCGATAGTGCAGAGGACTTTAAGAAGGCGCAAAGTGTCGCGAACTTGGCGCGCTCCAAGGACAAATCCGAGTTCGGACTGGCGTTCATCCCCAGCACTATGCTGCTACTGAGCCGGCAGAAGCTCATCTGGCTGCGTGACCCTCCTCTACTGTGGGGTAAGCTGCTTGAAGCGCTTATTATCGGTCTGGTTATGGGCATGATCTACTATAATGTGGCCTCGGCGTACTACCTGCGTATGATCTTCTTCAGTATCGCGTTGTTCCAGCGTCAAGCGTGGCAGCAGATCACCATCTCGTTCCAGCTTCGTAAGGTTTTCTACAAGCAACGGCCTCGCAACTTCTTCCGCACGTCGTCGTACGCGATAGCCGAGAGCGTCGTGCAGATCCCAGTGAACGTGGCGGTGTCGTTCGTGCTGGGCACGCTCTTCTACTTTATGAGTGGACTGACAAGGACGTTCGAGAAGTACATTGTGTTCTACCTGGTGCTGCTGTGTTTCCAGCATGCGATTAGTGCGTACATGACGATGCTGAGTGCGCTGTCTCCTAGCATCACGGTAGGGCAGGCGTTGGCTTCGATCTCTGTGAGCTTCTTCCTGTTGTTCTCGGGCAACATTATCCTGGCCGACCTGATCCCGGACTACTGGATCTGGATGTACTGGTTCTCTCCGATCTCCTGGGCGCTACGTAGTAACATGTTATCAGAGTTTTCGAGTCACCGCTACACGCACGAAGAGAGTAAGAAGAAGCTCGACAGCTTCTCGATCTCACAGGGCACCGAGTACATCTGGTTTGGAGTGGGTATTCTTCTAGCCTACTACTTCCTCTTCACGACCCTCAACGCACTGGCGCTGCACTACATCAGATATGAAAAGTACTCGGGTGTCAGTGCAAAGACTTTAGGGGATAACAGGTCAAAGGAAGGCGACGTGTACGTTGAAGTGAACACGCCAGGTGCTTCCGAAGCCATCAAGTTTGGCAAAGGCAGCGGGTTACCGTTTACGCCGTCCTATTTGTGTATCAAAGACCTTGAGTACTATGTGACTCTACCGTCTGGTGAAGAGAAGCAGCTTCTACGCGGTATCACGGCGCACTTCGAGCCTGGTCGCATGGTGGCGCTTATGGGGTCGTCAGGAGCCGGCAAGACGACGCTGATGGACGTGATCGCCGGACGCAAGACGGGTGGACGCATTGTTGGTGACATCATCGTGAACGGTGAGCCGAAGAACCCGGCCAACTTCAGTCGCATCACGGCGTACTGCGAGCAGATGGACATTCACTCGGAGGCCGCGACGATCTACGAGGCGCTGGTGTTCTCAGCCAACCTGCGCTTACCGCCAAATTTCACCAAAGTGGAGCGCTTGAATCTTGTTTCCGAGACACTCGAGTTGCTAGAGCTCACTCCCATTGCTGGCGAGATGGTCGGTCATCTCTCTGTGGAGCAGAAGAAGCGCGTGACGATCGGCGTGGAGGTGGTGTCTAACCCCAGTATTCTCTTCCTGGACGAGCCGACGAGTGGCTTGGACGCACGTTCGGCCCTGATTGTGATGCGCGGCGTACAGTCGATCGCGCGAACGGGCCGCACGGTGCTGTGCACGATCCACCAGCCCAGTATCTCAATCTTCGAGCTGTTCGATGGACTGCTGCTACTTCAGAAGGGAGGCTTCACAGCGTACTTCGGCGACCTTGGCGTGGACTCGGTGAAGATGCTCGAGTACTTTATTTCAATCCCTGGGACGATGGAAATCAACCCGCAGTACAACCCGGCGACGTATATGATGGAAGTCATCGGCGCTGGCATTGGGCGAGACGTAAAGGATTACTCGGTAGAGTACACGAACAGTGAACTCGGTAAGAAGAACCGAGAACGAACTCTGCAGCTGTGCGAAGTGTCAGATAGTTTTGTTCGACACTCCACACTTAACTACAAACCCATCGCGACGGGTTTCTGGAACCAGCTGAAGGAGCTGACGAAGAAGCAGCAGCTCACGTACTGGCGCAACCCGCAGTACAACTTTATGCGCATGTTCCTGTTCCCGATCTTTGCTGTCATTTTCGGCACCACGTTCTACCAACTATCTGCCGCTAGTGTCAAGAAGATCAACTCGCACATCGGTCTCATCTACAACAGTATGGACTTCATCGGAGTCATCAACCTCATGACGGTGCTGGAGGTTACGTGCGCCGAACGCGCCGTGTTCTACCGCGAACGGATGTCGAGTTACTACGGTCCGCTACCGTACAGTCTGTCGCTCTGGTTCGCCGAGGTGCCGTATCTGATCGTGGTAATTATCCTGTTCGTGGCCATCGAGTACTGGCTGGTCGGCTGGAGTGATAATCTGGAAGATTTCTTCTTCTTCATGTTCATCTTCTATCTCTACACGTCAGCATGTACATACGTGGGCCAGTGGATGTCTGCTTTGATGCCGAACGAGAAGGTCGCGAACGTGGCTGTCGGCGCGCTGTCGTGCCTGTTCAACCTGTTCTCGGGCTTCTTGCTGCCTCGAACAGCGATGAAGCCAGGCTACAAGTGGTTCCAGTACTTAATGCCTTCGTACTACTCGCTCTCTGCATTGGCCGGCATTCAGTTCGGCGACAACCAGGACATCATCACGGTGACAACGAAGGCAGGTGTTGCATCGAATATGACAGTGGCAGCCTTCGTGAACAAGACGTACGACTTCCACCCTGAGCGCAAGTACGACTTCATGGCGGGGCTACTCGTGATCTGGGCCGTGCTTCAGCTCGCTATTTACCTCACGTTCAAGTACGTTAGCCACCTCAAGAGATAGGCTTAAGGTGGCTGAAGTCGATGGAACACTACACCTTTTTAAATACATTGAATAGGTTTCGGGAACTTGTCGTCTTTTTTGAAATTGCGCTCACTCATGATGATCCCTCACGTCAAATTTCATGGTCAGTACAGTTCTGTTCAGAGAAGACACAATGATCACGTACCTGATCCACCGATCGTAATCATGGCCTGACGTGTGCTGCGAATTAGACGGGGATTACTGTACATTTACAAGTTTTGTACCGGACTAAACAATTACAAAACAACTGCTTAAACAGTACAGTACAGAAGTACTGCTGAATTGCTTCCTGAAAGCTACATGTTGACTGTACATGTAGCTGGTGAGGGGACGATGACAAAAAGCGCGTCTTTTGGTCATAAAATTGAAACCATTACGCTTTTTGTCGTTTGCAGCAGCCGGATAGCAAGAAGAAACCGGCCTAATACATGTACTGTAACAGGATTCAAAGAAATTTCGTTTACACTTCATTTTCCATTCTGCAGGCAGCACCCACCGACGCGAATCGATGGCTCAGCCACGCGAAAGGAGCCCAGCCGAACTGGCTAGGCACCGCCAGATGAACCGCGAGTGCATGCGTGAAGCGAGACAACGCCGGCGCCTAGAGCTGCAAGAAATGCAGACCACCGTTTCAGCACTGGAGAAGCAGTACAAAGAGCTGTCTCAGCGCTCAGCACACACCAGAGATACAGCTTTGTCTCAAATATGTCAGCGACCTAAGTATGCTGAGGCTGTTGACACAGCTAGACGACTTGGGGCAGAGAATCTTTACCTTCAGAGTTTGCTCAAGCAGGAGATAACCTGGGAGCGACAATTACAACGAATCGTGGACTTTGAGGAGGCCGATATCGTGTGCGGAGCAGGTACCAAGAGCCACAGCTGGCAAATGAATTTCGACGTGCTTGACGACGCTCAGGCCGAGAAAGAACTCGGCTTCCATCGCTTAACCGACTGGGATTTTACACGAATCATCCTGGACAACAAGCGCAATATCCATCACGTTGAATCTCGACTACTTCAGCCGTCAAATATCACGCATACACACCGAATGCAAGCGTTTGGCTGGGATATGAACCAGACGATAGACTGCGGTGTGATGGAGTTCGTATTCACAAAACAATTCTCCGGACTTAATGTGTACGACATTTTGCGGACAACGTTGGTCAATGACTTGGAGCTCGAGCGGTCCAGGAAAATCAAGGCGGAGACGCTGCGCCTACAAGTCATACAGGAGATGGCCCCAAACGCTTTTGTGGTTGTACACGACGTCTCCTCTACCGGTGATGTAAACGTCTTTCGGTCCGTCGTCGCGCGTTTTCTCATTGAAGACACGAGGGATTTCCCGTTGAGCAGGTCCGACTTGGACGATAATATCAGCACGGAATGCCGGCTGAACAGGTCTAACCTAGAGGACAATAGCGGTGTAGTGACGGGAAGAGGCTGCGTCTTGGGTACACACAGTGTAACTACTGACAAAGCACAGCGTCTGTCAGATGAAGAATTATCTGGAAAGCTCGTGTGGGCTGACGTCGCTCTGTCCGTCGGAATATACGATGTGATTGATTCAATCACGGGCGAGACGTGCCAGTACGTGCGTTGGGCAGGACGCACAGATTATTCTAGCGAGGAGCACGCACAACGTAACGCCTCTGACACTGTGCAGTGCATGCTACGCTGGGAGATGCTGGTGATCGCCCCAGCTCTCAATCTTGTATCTATATGCTAAATGTGAAGAATTATAAATCATCATCAATGATTGAGACTTAGGCTTGCTCCCAAATATATCCAGGTTTTATACCTAGGTTTTTAGAAAAAACTTAAATGCCTCGAAATGCTTGGTTTCCAAATTGTGGTAGATTTGTTTTTCATGAAGTCGCTATTTTCAATCCGGACATATTAACCATATGTCGATCACTTTTAAGAAACAGTACATTCTTGTCAATTAACTTGTAAGCTTGCGCTATTAAACCCATTCATATGGTTTAAAATTTACGATTCTGATCGATTGCATAACTTAGAATTACGCAAGTATAAAAAATGACCTCCAGCGAAGATTGATTATGCACTTTGGGAGCCGATTTTCGTGGTCACCCAAAACTACCAGGCACAGACTTCGCTCTCACTTCCCGATAGATCTAGATATGAATATTAAATGTTAGGTCTTACAGGCAAACGGACAGTGCATCAGCGATGTGTTTATGATGCTCTCCTGTCAACTGTCATCATCATGGCAGCCCCCTCATCCACATTTCTAAAGAAGAAACCAGTGTGCGTCAAGCCGTTTTTGATCGCACTCTGCTTCTGCATCCTGACCCATATTTATTGGCTCCATTTCATTGCCTGTAATTGATCGATGTCATGAAGAGGGGAGCTAGCGCGTCCGTGCCATCTACGCTTGCAGTTAGAGTTGGGATAATTCTAGTTGTCTTCTTCTTTACTCCGCGAGTGCTCTAGGTGCAGATAGATCGCGCGGGTGTCATTGAATAGTACAGCCCGGTCTCGTCCATGTTGTAAAGATCTGTAGAGCTCTATCACTTGCTGTAACTATTTGCGGCTGACTCGTGCAGTTTCCGCATCAGCATAAGCTGCTTCCCGGCATCGCTGTCGCAGGCGTAGCCTGTATCGCTTTTCAAACGCAGTTAGCCAGTCTTCAGACAGAGATAAATCCGATGCGTCGGATAGCTCTCTCTACCTGTAGTTCCCAAGCTTTAAAGGGGATACGCTCGCGAGAGACACATACGTGTTGCTTCTCCATCCCCTGTAGCCGCGCCTAAAGGCGCTTCTCAAGCCATAGTGATGCCACCCTCAAGGGTTTCCACCTCCTGCCACCACCGTATGCCTCGTTCAGGGTCGTAGTAGTATTTTTGAGGATGTCGGAAACAGTTGCCTGCGCCGGGGCTTTCTATAGCTTGAAATGGCTCGCCACCCATGCGGCAAGTTCTCTTTGTGACAACCTTAAGTGCTCGTAGTGATGCTTAATCAAAGCTCTCTTTATCTCTATCCGCATCCAGCTCCCCATTATATCGAGCACTGCAAATCTTAAAGTGCACATTATGATCGCATTTGCGCGCCTACATTCAAACTGAATGTGGATCTCTTCCTTAGTTCATACTTTTTATAATATACACTTGTCGAGCGCCGCCGCTTCGCGGCGGTGAAGCATACATGTTAGTTCGCAAGCTGCGGCTAGGGACGGACAATGCTACGGTAGTTGATGTTTAGAGCTAGCCGTTCACCACCGCTACACGGCGGAGGTGGCATAATTTGTTGGAGGTGTGGTCGCCGTACTTCGTGGTGTCGCGTGCTTCATAAGTATTTCGTGGTGTCGCGTGCTTCAGGAGCATTCGTCCACCCAAGTACGTCGTGGCTTAGTGTCTGTTGTTGTTGTTAAAGGCAAATGCCGAAGTGAGTAGATTAAAGTCAATTAAATCTGTCCTCTAAACTTCAGTGCTCCTGGCCATCCACCAGATTAACCGGTTTGGGACCGGTCCATTTTGGAACGTCACACCGGTTAGCCGAACCGTGCAGAGTCGGTGCATATCAACACTCCCACTGTAACGGGGTACGTAGCACTAAGTGTACCCTGGTTACATGAAGTGTGACACTTCACACTTCAGGAGTATGACATGTCATACTCCGGGATATTTGGTACAAGGTACCAAGGTCATTCAAAACCAACCATTGGTTAAATGACATTGCATTTCTATAGGTAACTGATAGTTTGTATTAACCACAAACTTAACCTACCTATAAATATACTCAGTTTACAATCTACCTTATTTAGGTCACTTCGCTCTCTTTAATTAAAGAGGGGACCTGTGAACTGCCGTTCACTGAGAGTTTGTATACTCTCGGAAGATAACTTCCTCTAGCGCAAGGTGCTGTGTGACCCCGTCACACTTGGTAGCACTTGTAGTCAATCCACGCCATCGCGGGTAGACTACCTGAACCTCCGAAGTTCGTTGCCATGGATAGGAACGACTTCTCCCATATGAACGACTCTCAGTTCGAGTCGGTTCGGAAGATGGCAGGCATCTTCGGGATGGAGGCCCTGCAGAGCCTGGTGGTATCAACACCGGCTGAGCAGCTCGAGCGCGTCAATGCATTCGACGCGTACGAGCAGGGCCTCATCGCGCATGTGCGGGAGAACCTGCAGGCTCCGGCGGCGGGAGCAAACCCGCCTCACCCGAAGCCAATACGGCTGAAGGTAAAGCCGTATGAAGGGAAGGAAGGCGAGAACCTTCACTTCTGGGTCCGAGAAGTAGAGCTTGCGATGGACGCGGCTCTGATCTCGACCAAGCAACTGCGTGTTGCTTTTGCACTCTCCAACCTTAGCGGTCGTGCTAAGAGTTGGGTGTACACTCGGGAAGCGACATCCCCTGGATGTTTCACATCCTGGGCTCAGCTGTGCGAACAGCTCCGAGCCGCGTTCCTCCCGGCGAACTACGAGTACCGCCAGCGTTCGCGCTTCCTCGCGTGTAAACAAGGAAGACGCGAACTGCACGAGTATGTGCAAGAGATACGGGAGCTCACGGCGTCCCTAGTGGGAAACCCACTCAATGAACACATCAAGATGACTGTGTTCATGGACGGCCTTCGAGTGGGCCCCGCACGCACTCAGCTGTTCCGGGTGCAGGCAAGCACCCTTGAAGAGGCGATTCAAGTGGCTCTTCAAGAAGAATACAGCCATCGCCAGGCGCGTACGCCGGCCTCAGCGTGGCCTGGGAGTTCCTTGTCGGCTCCCGGTCGAACAAGCCCCAACGGACCAGTTCCCATGAAACTCGGGTCCGCCGAACAGCGTGACATCCGCTGCTTCGGCTGTGGGAAGATGGGCCACTTCAAGCGCGACTGTCCCGCGGAAAGACTCCGCAGACGGTCCTTCCCCAAGCCCGTCCTCAAGGGTCGCTGGCAGAAGCCAGGATCCCGGGGACAGGGGAACGCAGGGAACCAGTAGGGGCGGGGCGCCCTACTGGGGAAGAACTAAGTCTTCGTGATGGGTGCGCGGGTGGCGCGTACCACGGGGACTTAGCCCCTGAGAGTCTTCGCACTCTCGAATCGGCGAAAAGCAGCGGCGGGTTGCTCGTAGTACACGGATGTGTACGGGGGTACGATCACCCCTTTAGAATCTTGATTGACTCTGGGGCGTCGAAGAATTTCGCACGCCGCCAGACGGTTGCTCGTAACAGCAACAAGTTGTCCGAAGCTTTGCGAGAAAGCAAGGGCAACGGGACGGTGTCAGTGCGACTGGCCGACGGGAAGGTCGTCACTGTCCCCAACGTCCAAGTGGATCTGGCTGTCAAGTTTGAAGACTTTGACAGCCTCGAACAGTTCACTGTTCTCGATATGGAATCCATATGATATGATCCTGGGCATGCCCTGGCTTGAGAAGCACGAGCCCTGGATCGACTGGCGAGGCAAGGCAATCGGTGCCAGCCGCCCTGCGCAGTCCGACAGAGCATTGGTGAGTCATGTTCCCACCTCTGTCAGGACCCGGGGCGCCCGCGAGGGCTGCCAGGGTACCAAAGCATCCGGCAGATGCTTGGGAGTCGTCGACGTATATGACGACTCCGAGGATGTTTTGATGGTGGCCGCGCCCAGAAGAGGCGCCGGCCAAGTGGGTAACTTAGGTCCACAGGCGGGTAACTTAGTTCCGCAGACAGCTGCAGCTGTCATGAACACTGAGAACAGCGTGTTCAGAGTGGGTAACAGAGCTCCACTCACGGTCGCCCAGACCATAACTGAAGAGGAAGACGTCGGATACGCTTCCTGTGAGAGTAACACAGTGCCACACGCGGTCGCCCAGACCTTAACTGAAGAGGAAGGCGTTGAACACGCTTCCTGTGTGGGTAACACAGTGCCACACGCGGTCGCCCAGACCTTAACTGAAGAGGAAGGCGTTGAACACGCTTCCTGTGTGGGTACAACAGTACCACACGAGGCCACGAGTGCCTCGGATGTCGTAGCGACGACATCCCTAGACGTAGGCAGCAAAGCTCCCCGTCACAGAAGCCGTCGGCAAAGACGCCGCCGCCGCCTCAAGTCGGATCCGAACTTCGTTCCGATCGACGTCGCTTCAAGCGACTCGGAGTCCAGGGCCCGGGCTCCTCCGACAAGGCCGGTGGAAGAGTGTTATCACATCTTCGATAGCGAGACGGGTTTACCCGTCAAGGCATCTGGTGTCCACTTGGAACAGTTGCCAGAGGTTGCAGAGATACTGAACCTCGAGGAAATGACGGCTGAGTCTTTCCTGGCCAACCTCAAGGCTGGAGAGATCGCTGAGATGGTACTCATAAGACCTGAGACCACTCAGGAGGAGCTGAACTCCTCCTCTGTCTTGGACGAGAACGTCCTGGAAGACATGAACAAGCAGCGTCAGGCGCGCTTGGGTTCTGAGATTCTCAAGAACCCCAAGGATCCGGTGTATCCTTTGGTGACGGAGTATGCGGACGTGGTGAATAAACACCCACCGACCCAGCTCCCACCGGATCGAGGCGTACGGCACGAGATTGATCTCGTGCCCGGCACAAAGTATTGTGTCACGAGGCAATGGCCTCTCCCGCGCGAACAGTGCGAGGTCATTGATGCCTTCTTCGCCGCGAAAGCGAAGGCAGGCATGGTGCGGGAGTCGAAATCCCCGCACTCGACGCCGACTTTCTGCGTTCGTAAGCCGAACGGAAAGTGGCGTCTGGTTCACGCTTATAACAAGCTGAACAACGCAACGGTGCC